CCTTTAATTCATAATTTTACCTCAAAACATCACAAATTTCTTCCCAGCTGAGTTTTATTGTTCCGGTTATAAGCTGTGTTTTATTCTGAGCTTTTAGCATGAAATTCTTATTGCTCAGACTGAACAGGAGAAACCATCAGTACAGAATGAGCCTCGGCTCACAGCGCTGCTCTTTGTGCAAAAGTGTCAGTGAATATTTGTGCCTCCAGAGATCTTAATTTGAAGGGACTGTGTTTGTCTGCTGGTCGGTGTTTGCTCTGCTGAATCACGCTGCCGTTTCGCCCTTTGATGTAGCTTCGCTGTCGCTGTTTGTCAGGAAGTTTTCCAACAAACCCCTCGTTCCTAATGGAGATCATTAAAACGATCTGAGTTTGGCTGTGATGGTTTCAAAGTTTGAACAAAATAATTGCTTAAATAAGTCTGATTTTTAGCTTGGAAGAAAAGGATTTCCTTTTATGTTTCAGAAGATTATTTCTGTTCGTGTCTCTGTCTTTTCTGTTTTGAATTTGCAAATTATATAAACATAAATATATTAAAATTGATTGTCCGATGTTCTCAGTTAAAAAGTTGCGAAATGTTTAAAAGATTTTATTTAGTGGGAAAAGTTTTTATGAGTGTTCATGATGGTCCTTGTTGACGGTTTTGATCTTGTAATTATGATGCAGACCAAAGACTAAATTTGATGCCAGTCTGTCTGTTTGCTTCCTTCTCTTGTGGTTATGACTGGCCGGGTTTGTAAAATCTGTGGCCACAGCTGTGCAGCTTTTGTTCTGCTTCCAGCTTTTATCTCAGGCGTTTGTCCTGAGATAGGGACACAGCCCATCGTTACAAAGCTTTACTATATTTTTAGTTCTTTCTTTCTGTCTTCTGTCTTTGTTCTGTCAAATAAATCTTAAAAAGAAATTATAAAACTAAAGAGGACAAAATAGCTTAACCTTTCTGGTTATAAATCCTCTCCGTGGTTAAAATATGTTGATATTTACATTAAAAATTCACTTATTGTCAAATGAACTACAGAAAGACATGAGGGGATCCGTTTATTCTGAAACTACAATGAACAGAACAATCTGTTATTTGTCTCTAAGCAGAATAAATAAGATAAACTTTGCAACTTAAAACCGACTAACACTATCACATATCGTAATGACTAAAATGTGACTAAAACTAATAATAGTCTTCATCCTGAGGACAAAAACTAAGAATAAATCTAAACCACGCTGCCCTAGTGGTATAGTGGCTTTATTAAATGTCCTGCTATGTTTATTTATATGATCAAGGTAAATATTTCTTTAAAAAACTACATAATTTTCAGTTTAAAAAAGAATCATGTAGAAAAACTTCTCTATTTCTATTGATTTGTCCTTTATTTTTTACGGAGCTCCTAAATACGGAGCCCCTAAAGGGAGATGGAGGAAAAAAGTAAACTTTTGCGTGATCTCACAAAAGTATTGCGGGATATAGCTAAAGTTTATTTTTTGCGAGATCCCGCAATACTTTTACAGGATCTTGCAATACTTGTGCAGGATCTCGCAAAAGTTTATTTTTTGCGAGAACTCGCAATACTTTTTTACTTTTGCGAGATCCCGCAATACTTTTGCGAGATCCCACAATAGTCTTGCGAGATCCCACAAAACTTTTGCGAGATCTCACAAAAGTATTGCGAGATCCTGCAAAAGTTTTGCAAAAGTTTATTTTTTGCGAGATCTCGCAATACTTTTGCGAGATCCCACTATACTTTTGCGAGATCCCGCAATACTTTTACAGGATCTTGCAATACTTGTGCAGGATCTCGCAAAAGTTTATTTTTTGCGAGAACTCGCAATACTTTTTTACTTTTGCGAGATCCCGCAAAAGTTTATTTTTTCCCTCCATGTCCCTTTAGGGGCTCCATCATTTTTATACAGTAACATTTTGTAATTTGTGAGTATATGATTCTACTTATGATTAAGTATGGATACAATCAGGTATTTATATCTTATAGATTATATTCAATGTCTTCTTAAACAGCTGCTTATTTAGCAGCATGCATTTTATTGTAGATTATTAGTCTGTGTAATTATTCCAAACAAACTGAAAATTACTAGGAATTGAAAATCACTCAAAGAGGATTAAGAATGTGGTTAAAATCATTTTACTTTTATGCATTTCACATAATCATTCTGCACAGACATCCGCTGCTCTGACAGGAGATCATTGCCTGATCCTTCTCTCTAATTTAGCATTAAGTAATGAGCTGGCTTCTGGCAGGTTCTCTGCAGCCACCTTCATTTATTCTTAATGTGCTCCTCCAGTCCCCTTGTCGGGGCACAGGCTCGTCTTTAAAGTCTGCCTACCTGAAACATGAAGCACGTTCCTCTCATCATGATGCATTATCCTGTCCACTTATCCACAAGCATGTGAGATATTAGTGTGAAGATGCATGAGTCCAGCAGGCGCAACCAGAAACCAATAAAACACTGCTTAGTCACTCAGGGATCCGGAAAAAAAACCATAAATCTTATTTTCAAGAAAATAAAGAAATCTTTTTACCTGCTTTAACTTGTTTATTTAGATATCCAGCTCTGTCTCCCTCCTTTCCTGTAACTTTACTCTTCTTTGATGCCTTGCCCACCTTTGTGGGTCGCTTCCTCTTTTTTTCTTTCACCTCTCTGAGGTTTAATGAGAACAAGCAGTGAAATATGCAGCAGAGAACAAACAGACAGAGCAGATAAAGAGCCGTTGAAAGAAAACGGCAGAGAGAATAGATTCAAAGAAAACTGTGAATAGATGAACAGTACATGCAATTAAATTCAATTCAAAATATTTAATTGATCCCAAAGGGAAACGTTTTGTGTGTAATGTCTGTGGAAAAAGAAGCCTGGGTTGGAGAGTTGAAAGTTGATTTATGGGTTATGATTCCATGTTGGTAAGCAGATTTTTAGGAAAAACTAACAATGAATGAATAAATTCACTGATGGGTATTTTGACTTATTTACATTATGCTGCTGAGCAGATCAGGAGCACCAGGGGGCTCATTTTAGTATACATTAAAACTAAAGCAAAATTTGTTAGGAAAAATATGACAAAGTTGCTTATGATGGTTATGTTTAATTGTAATCCCCACGTAAGGCCGTCCTACGTGCTCGTCCCGTTAGCTATCTTTTCTGCCCATGAACACTTTCAGGCGTATGTCTGTGGTGAGCTACGGTTTCAGACAGTCATTGAAGCTCATCTTTCTCACTCTCATTTGAAAAAATAGCCAAATGTCGTAAGGACGGACATTGGGACGCAGTAAGCTTGTATGACTTCTGAGAACGGCAACTTTGAAACAGAAGGGTGCACGATGCGAAATGCGCTTTTTTAAGTCTTTTAATGAGTTCGAGAAATCCTCCACAATACCTTTAAGTTCTTATACAATAGCAGCCATTCAAAATAGCCCTTCGCAGTCAAATGCAGCCAAATGCCAGCCCTCTTCCCTGCAGCCTCCAGCAAAATCCCCTCCAACTTCCAGCCACTGGCCTTCTCCTGGGCATGCATTTTTTTTTTTACTACACCCTTTCACTAAATTACAGGGTCTGACCAGGAGATAACGCTTCTCTTTAGATTTTGATGTCCACAAATCATGACATTTTAGGGAATTGTAGGGGACCGTCAAGGAAAGAGGTGAAAACTGCTTTATCAGTAGCTGTTACTCTTCTGCATGTTTCACCCTGACTTTATAGGTGGGACTTAGTTAGACATAAACGA